GACTTCAAGTACAAGCTGAAATCCGGGCGCTAACACGAGCTAAAACTTAAATCTGGCTGCTAAAACGAGATTTGACCGGTCCTGGATGTGTAAATAGACTCAATCAGGTCCGACTATCTGAAGAGATCCAGTGTTCAAACGACTGTCTTATCCCTCTAATCCACACCAACACGATGATTTAAGATGCTACACACGTCTCCAATACCCGAAAGACCAGGATGAAGACGCCCACTGGCTCTCGACCAATCACAGCCGGCCTTCTGAGGCCGAAAACAGCCGAGGACGGGTCGGAAAAAACTGTTACAGGGACCCTCAAAGATCTTCCTGATGGGGTCCGGGAAACACAGGACGTCCATTCTGGAGCAGCCTATCAGAGGATGAGCGGGCTGTGATGTCATACGTCGTTGCCTAGCAACAGAGAAACCACTTTGGGTTTGATTGGAGATCGTTTGATTGTGTTGGTGTCTACATTTCTTGGGAATATAAAGAGAATACTGCTGTAAAAAGTAGTTAATCTTTTCAAATATTTCCCTAAATGTTGTTGGGCTTTGTCCATAAGCAGATCCGTAGTGGCCTGGATATGTGTATATGTATATAAAAATGTGTATATTTCCGTTTGACAGGGGACTTTTGTGAAGTTTGTTCTGTTAATGTACATAGAATTGATGACAATATGTTCAATTTATTAAAATGCATATTTAATCTTGGTGTCAGACTCCATCACATGCAGCTTTCTCAGGTCTTTTCTTCCTCTGTTCCCGTTTATATACAATTCTGGTTGGTTTACAAGTTTGTCTGCCTTCAGAAAAGGCTGTGGCAGGCCTGTGTGTGATGGAAACAGGTGTTTTAAAGCTCATTTTAAAGCTCATTTTAATGACAAAAACATGGAACAAACAAGCAGAAACAAGGGCTCAGACTCTCCTGTGGGGGGCTTCCTCCTGATAACTAATTCTAGTTGGATCCTAGTTTAGGTGTAGGTATTCCCCTTAATCAGTCTAATCAGAGGCCTCCAACCCGAGGCTGTACAGGCCCATGGGTGATGGAAACAGATGTTTTAAAGCTTATTTTAAAGCTCATTTTAATCACAAAACAATGAACAAACAAGCAGAAACAAGGCCTCAGACTCTCCTTCATTACCCCCCAGAAAAAAGCCTCAGTTTCCAC